CAGCTCAATTACACTTCCTGCAAAAGACAAGGAAGAATGTTCGGTAAGAATTCAGGGCCGAAAGTAATTGAATTATCTGAGATCATCGGTAAAAATATCAGTAAGACAACAAACAGTAAAAACAGGCGCATACGAAGAAAAGTGGCGGAGGAGAGATCTCTTTTTGAATGTTGCTCCTCTGGAACATTCAATCTTTTTACGACTCATCCATCCGCTTCGGTGCTAAATTGGTACTGGATCATGCCAGGAAGACAAAGCACGCCACCAGCTTGCTTTTCATCAACTTTCGAAAAAGAAAGCTATTGCTGACAGATGCGGAAGAGGAAGGAAACTGGAGCTGGCACATGCTGCCACTCGAACTACAAAATAGATATGGAAGAACTACGGGCGGACATTAAAGATCATTAGCAGAATGACAAACAGTGATAACACGGCATTTAAAATGGCCAATGTTAAGCTGAATTCTACTCAAAACAGCAAGCCAAAGCATGTTTCATATCAAATTTCAAGAGGCATACCGGGGCAGAGTTCGGTGACAAGCAAGAATTCCGCTCGGCCATGACCACTCTCCTGGGGGCTTAGCTGAGCTGCTTGTACGAAGCGAAGAATTGCCGGATGACCGCTGAGCTGCAAACCAAACACCGTTTCGTCAAAAGGAACGTACCACTTTTGAAATACCCGAAATTACGGACCTGGTAAAAAGTGAGCAAGCATACTTTCGATCATTTTTAAAGGCGAAACTTTCTGAAACTATCGGCGCATCTTCCAAATGCAGAGGATGCATTGCTCCGTTCGACTGAGCTGGAATGCCGGGACATTTCGAACACCGAAAGCGCAGAATCGCCTGATGGTGCCAGGGCCGCATCTACGGTGTGGAAGGTGTCAAATCTTGCACTGACCTGTCGCAAAAACCTGATTTCTCTTATGATCTGCTCAGCCGCTTCACGATCCGCTGCGAGCTGCCTTTTCAAAGCAAACCAGTTACCCTGCGAATCGTGCGCCGAAAATACCAACGCATAACCTCCTGAAAAATAGAAGCTCCGATTTCTGGGAAGCACAGCAAGGCTGCTTAGTTAAGTCTCGAGAACATAACCGAACCGCAACAGTGCAACGGCACCCGCTCCTCAGAGCACACATACCGGCTGCCTGTGTGGCCAGCCGGCCGTCCGAGCGAAGATAACTCGGAACAGCACGCAGTTGCCGGCAAGACCAGCAACCCGTCCCTGTTACGCGCAGTTCACGACAACATCGCTCACGCAACTTCCCATCTCAGCGCTCTGCCCCAGCGCATTCTCACACTGACGCCGCCGCCGCCGCCGCCGCCTTCTTCAACGCAACAAGCATCCGCCCTTGCACCACCACACCGGCAACCCCGCGCTTGATCAACGGAAACGATTCATTTGCTCTGAATGCTGCAACGAACCTTCGGCTATAAGTGAGCGAATTTTCAGCCTCAGCGTGCCAATCTCAACGTTCGTGCCGACCAGCGGATGGTCGAAGCGACCGATCGGAGGCGTACTGCTACCGCTGCCACCACCGCCGCCGCTCAGTGGCGCCGTCTGCGAGAAGTAACTGAGCGCCGATCGGAACAACTCGGTCATC